CCCCAAAACCCCAAAACCCCAAAACCCCAGATATTAGTTGCACTGTAAGCTGAATATGGGATTAATAATTACTTAGATAATATAAACTTAGTCTCTATAAAACAAACTTATTTTCAGTTGACTTTCTCACTTTAATAATCTGCCAGTTGATCTTGTATTATTGCTATTTACTATTTGCTTGGCCTTGGTAATATTTTTTGATGTTTCAATTACAGAGCTCACTGGCGCTTTTTCTCTTTTATAAACTCCTGAATGATTCACGCTTTGATCAAGTTGCTGCTGAGAGCCAAATAAAAAGCTGCTAGGATAGTTGTTGGGGATTGGATTAGTGTTGTTCAACATTGAGGTGCTCTGAGATTAGTTGTTATGCTTTAGAGAAGCTATATTATTTTAGTATTATTAATTTTGGCTTAAGTTACCTTGACTAATGCCACTACTGTTGCTATTGGCACTCATTAATCTCTGGGGCGAATAATCCTGCTACTTATGCAAAAGCTGCTAGGTCTCCTTCTCTGGAAGAGTGTTATTAGATTGCATGTAAATGTTCTGAGAGTTGTTATTTGTGTTCAGGGCAAGATGCTACAGATTTTAAGTAGATTGGGAAATTGGGCCAGTTGTAAGTCTCTGGGGATGAATATCTGAATAAAGTTAATTATTTTATGAATAATTACCCATTGATTCATTATTGCTCAAAGCTTTAAAGCTGTTATTGGTATTTTACCAGTTACTGTTTAGAGTCTCAGTGTTGTTCAAATTCTTTTCGTCCTTATTCTTGTACTTTCTGCTGGTAGTATGCAACTTATCCTGTAATTCTTGAATTTTCTAGGTGCATCTCTCGTTTTCTCTTCTGTAGTCCTCAATCAAAGAATTTAGCTTGTCATTTTCATCATCATTCTGTCTGTAGGTTACTCTATTTGAAGCATAAATTGTGTTTTGACTTGAACTTTGTTGCTATGAGTATTGCTATGTTAAAACATTGGCTAATTAAGTTGTACTGTTCGTTGAAGAATATTTGTTCTGATCAAGTTTCTTATTGTGATTTAGTAATGGTGATTTCAAGTCTGAATAATTATGATTGACAACTGGTCTTGTCTATGAGGTTCTTGGAGCTGGACTATGACCAGTATTATGATTTGATCTATTAGTAGGAACTCTTTTTTACTGTCCATCATCAATGTTTCTTGAGCTGCAATTGTGAGGAGCACCACCTCTCTTAGTAAATGGAATATTCTTAGAGTCAGATCTCTTGTTGCTCAGTACTCTATCAGGACTTGATACCTTAGATCTAGTAATCATGCATTCTCTTACTGTATGCCTGCCATTATTTGCTTCTTCCTCTCCTCCTCTTTTATTTCTCTTCAGATACTAATTCTCTTCCATAAGTCTTTAATTTATTTCAGCTTGAGCTTCAATTTATTGAATGAGTTATCTTTACTCATTTTAAAGCTAAATGTTTCTCTACAATAGTTGCTCGTTCTAATCAGCAAATGACAAGAAATCATGATTTTATTTTTCATAAAGATGTCTCTCAAACTCTTAAAGTCTAAGTGATTCAATACTCTTCAAAGACATCACTTAATCCTTTAGTTTGAGAACTTCTAATCTCAGGTCTTCGTTTTCTTTTACTAACTTCTTAAGGTTTTATTCGTAATAATATTCCCTTTCCTTTAATAATAATCTATTTTCCTCTTGCATTAATTCGTAAGTAACTACAACATGTTCTGCAATCTGCTCAATATCATCAGTGCTTTCTACATCATTTGAAGTTTGATTGTTACTTATCATATTCCCATTAGAGTCTAATCTCAGATCAGCAGTTGAACCTTAATGTGAAACTGACTCAAATAGTGATTTTAGTCTGCTTATGGCTCTATCTACTGATTGTTATGGATATATACTCTAAGCCTATGGAGAATTCAAATGTTACTCTGGTTTATCTTAGGCATTATTCTACACATCTAGGACTTATTGATTAATAATGATCAAATGTTCTAGTTCCTTTCTGATTACTTCCTTGATACTTTGGAACAAGTATTTTACGCTATGAGTTACTGATCTAGAATCTTAAAGATTTATGTAAAAGTCCTCATTCATTCCTGGTGAAATTTATGACTCACTAGACATTCTACTTTATAATGGGTTGAATATTTGTTTAGTAGTCATCACAGAGTTGAAAATTCTCTCCTTTACCTCCTTTAACTCTTAAAGATAAAATTCAAGCTCGTTCAAATCAGATTCAAGTTCATGATTTTAATCTTCCTAATCATTCTAAGATTTCTCTTATGCGACTTATAGTTCTTACTTAAGGCCATTAATCTCTTGTTTAAGCTTTTATATTTCCTTTGTCTCTGCTTATTTAAGTTTTTTTACTTCATCGAATTCCTTTTCTTTTAGCTCTAGCAACTTCATTTGTTATTCAATCTATTAGTGAAGTTATTCATTCTCTTTTTTAAGTCTGTCTCTTTCGCTTGAAATCTTGACAGACTTACTTTGCTTAGTTTCCATTTCCTTGAGTTGCTTTTCAAGTTAAACAATCAATTTTTGATTCAGGTCTCTAGTCTTTTACAACTCTTAAACCTCTCTGTCTTTTTCTTACTTCTATGAGCTGCCCTAGCTTTACACTCTTTTAAGCTTTTACTCTATTTCTTGGATCATAATATCCTTCATGCCAAGTTCCTGCTGATATGTTGTCTTGACTTGATTAACTTGAGTGTTTATTTGCTATAATTAGTCATATTCTTCTTAAATCTTATTTAATTATTGTATCTTTACATTCAATCCCATTATCATGGACTCTTTCTTCGATTTATCTTCCTTTAGCAAGTTAATCTCCTCATCCTTGAGGCTTATCAGTTCTTGGTAATTTTTCTCTTATTCAACGGAGAGTTAATTTTTGCCATAATCTTCTTCATGATCTCTGCTAAGAATTAGTTATTAATACTCCTCTAAGAGCATCGAGTATTTGCCTTCTACATGAGCTTGGTAGTCATTGAGACCTCTAATATATGTCTCCATATTCTTCCAGTCAGTTTCAAGCATATGATATTGCTGCATTAACTCAACATACTTCTATTCCTACTCTATTTAAAACTAAAGTGTTGTCTCAGTAGCTGAATCCCTTTATTGATATTGCTGAATTAAAGTAGTATTTGAATCTAATATTTTCTAAAGTTACTCAATTTTACTCTTGTAAGTAATTTCTATATTCTCTTCAAATCTTTGCTTTTCGCTGTTTCTATGCTCTAAACTTTGGCTACTTTATTTAGCTAGATTCAGTTCTAATTATAGCTGCAAGATCTCCTCAGATTTCTCATTCAGAGTCCTATCCTTTTAGGTTAATTCGTCAAGCTAGGCTGTTATTTAAGCCTCATAAGCCTCTTTCAATTTATCAATGAGCGTAGAGCTGACCTTTTCGCTGCCTGAATTGCTCGCATAATCAATCTGCAAGTTAAAATTTTGGTTTTTGTAATCTTCAAGCTCTTTTTTCAATTTTTCAATTATTGCTTCCTTAATCTTGTTTTGCTTACTTGAAATGTCTAACTCCTCCTAAGATTTCTCAAATTCCTTATGCTTTATATTTACTTAATCCACAAGCATCTTTATCTGTGATGTCTATAAAAATGAATTTAGTACTTGAAATTAAATGAAAGACTAGTAGTGTGGAAAAGTATTGATAAATTTCTTAAATTACCTATTCTTTAGTTGTTTTATCTAAATTTTCCTTCTCTGCTTTGACCTATTTCAGCATTTTAGTCATGTAATGACCATGAAACTTAGAACTAATGTCTAATAGCTGATCAATAAAGAAATCCTCTTGTGGAATCAGTCCATCGCACAGCTCCTTATATGTCTATAAATGTGTCATTTATTAGAACCATTTTAATTACCTTTGATGATTCTTCAATCATGGGCATGTCAATAAACTTCCGCTAGAGTTCTGATTACTTATGAAGTCTTTCTTGGAGGACATCTTCAAATCTGGGTATACGGGACCCAGGCTAAGATGATGATCTCATATTGGTTTAAAAATTAATTAAATTTTATCTCTTTTAATTGCATTGCCTATTAGTCCTTACAGTTAACTGCGGGGTTTTGGGGTTTTGGGGAGATCGGAAGAGCACACG